TCGACTATGAAGGACGCCCACGCCCTTCTCAACTCGCAAGTTTGTGTGGGAGCTTGATATCCAATGATGGAAGCCAGTCATTCACATAACCTGGTTTTGTTGAGAGTGTGGTTGTGACCGCTAACTCGGAGGAGGCGAGTTGCTTGTCCGGCGTAGACCTAGGAATGGGCCAGGACCTCTGGGACGAGGCCGAGCCAAAGCCACGGGTGCAAATGCTTTAGGATACAGATATGATGGTAGACTGCCCCTCTCGTCTGACATCGTTGACTCTTGGAACAGACTGAGGGTATCCTTGGTGATAATGATGCTTAGGATCCTATTGGCGACAAGTTAAACATGATATGAGATGATAAGCATGATTTAATAATATCTCGGTCTGGCGAATTGCTGGAAGAAATAGAGCGATATCCAAGACGAGGCAAAGTTGGTAAGGGAACAAAACCTTCTCTTTGTCCGAAAAATCTAGTGAAGATTGGGATGAGCAGCTGCTCGTAATGGTTCACCAACCGTTACTCTCCGTTATATTGAATTGAGAGACCTGAGAGCAAGATTACACCAACTGCGCGGCGTTTAATGGTATCAATACTTGTCCAGATACCTACATATCAGACGATAACAGAGAGTTTTGTAAATAATATGACTTGAAACGTGTCATTGGCGACTCCTATATAAGTAGTAATTGATGCGAAGGAGACAAGGTTCAAGTCGGCACATTGACCTCATGCTGGCGTTGACGCTCGTATGATGGATAACATAAGCCGGTACGTACCTATCAGAAGCCAATCTGGATGGAATTGCTTGGCGGATTCCGGGCTCGTAATGGCCGGTTTCAAGCTTTTCCGGGCCGAACGATCCCGTCGCAGTGGGCACCTGCCTTACGGGAGTCTGCTGGATACAATAAACCGTCAATTGACAGTTAACTTACCGTTGAAAAAAATTAAACGTTTCAAAATTCCCACATAGCGGAACGAGCGCTAGGAAATATTTACTATTTGGGTGTTTTCAAACGTTTGAATTGAATTCAAACGTTTATGTTTTTGTATAAACGCTCACGGGAAGCGATAGGAAGCTACGGGAAGGAGAAATTAGGTGATGTCAAGTTAGGGCAGGGCAGGGCAGGTAGGTAGGTAGGTGGATCTAGGTAGGCCACTGGCAGTATGCCACTATTTAGGATTACAGGATTACATATATAATTATAGGACAGGTCATGCAATTATTTAGATTGAACTCCCTCTAGATCTAGATGACTAAGATAATGGTTGACTGACTGACTGGTTGACTGGTTGACTGGTTGACTGACTGACTGACTGACTAAGAGATGTTGACTTACTAGTTGCGAGACTGGATAGGAGACTGTTGACTTACCTGTTGACTTACCTGTTGGCAGATGAGGACTTGAAGACTTAGAAGGTTCGAAAGATTAGGAGATTAGGGAGGAGGGAGGTTACCTTTATATAGACGACTGGTAGGTTTGGCAATAGGTCTGGCAACAGCACTGGCGACGCGAATGTTAATAGGACTGATTGATCTAGGGCCCTGATTGGCTAAGGTTAAGAGAATAAGAGATTGTATAGTTACATATATACAATTAGAATAGCAACGTTTAAAAAGAGGCAAATATCTACTAAACGTTTAGATAGTAATTACTATTAGAGCACCAGTAAACGCTATCTGAAAGGTTGAAAAAAATTTACTTAAATCCTATTGGTTGGCAAATGGTTTACTGAAAATAAACGGTTTATTTGGCGTTTATTGCTCCCACCAAGCTCCGGGAGGGCACCTGCATGGGGCGGGGGTCGCCTCAGCTGAATGAGGTTAGTCGCCCAACCCGTTTGTTTCTATTTTTTCCTTCTCGAAACATTCCAGCACTACTTACGGAATACATGTACGGGCATCAGCATGGCTGTCCAGTTGACACCATTGCTATTTCTTACGAGGTCTAGTACCGCCACGGTGACAGGCTATTCCCCTCACGTCGCTAACAAATCGCCGCGCTCCTCGTATCTTATTACAGATTACGGAATATGGAGTGATTCTTTGTCTGTTCGCTAACTATCCAAGATACATGGAGCATTTTTGGTAAGCTTGGCGAAGCCACCGGCTAGATTTTTCACGAGATGCCAATCACAGCCACTCGCTTCTTACGCCGTATTGTTTGTCTACACACTGCCATTGGCACGCGAATGACGATTTTGTCAGCAGCATTGGCCATCATAACTGTCTGATAGGCTTTGGCCACCAAAATGGCTGCCATCTTGCGCGTCCTTAGTCATGTCCCCTACCTACACTAGCAACGAAACCACAGCCTCAAGCCCTTGAATCACCAGTTTCTCAGCCCCATCGCGCCCGAGTATATCATTTGTTGCAATAGCCGCATTTCACTCACTGCGTGCGGTAAGGACGTAATCGACCATTCAGCTCACAAGGGTTGGCACTCGCCTGTGGCGTGGATAGGGCAAACGAGCTGCAGCGTACATATGTATGGCACCTCCGAGTTCTGACACCACTCTCGTCTTAGCGGTACCCATCCGTCGGATTCTTATATGATAAAGACGGCTCCCCGTTTCTCGTAACCAAGCGGTTTATTCAGTCCTGCTCTCTTATACCCATGCGGGTTGATGTCTATTCGTTACGTCCCTTATTAGAAGGATTGTATCACCAACAAGAGATACATTAGTCCTTGCCACTCAATCGTTAAATAAAACCCACCCGCCGCAGTCCAAATCTTCTCCCTTCGTTTGGATCTCTTTAGATTGCACCGAGAGGAACTACTACCAACGATGCAGTTCAATCTGCTATTACCGATCGTTACAGTCTTCTCGGTATTAGGCGCTCTGGTTCAGGCGTCTCCCATCCGCTGTCCAGACGTACGTCTACCTACTCAATCTACAGAATCAACTCTGGCGATTACATAGGTACTAACGCGCACTTAGTCTAAACGGGATTTGATTCTCAGCGGAGCGATGCCGGCCGAGGAGTGCTGTAGTTACGGGGTTTGCAAGAACACTGTCGTTATCGCCATGGCACGGGCGCAAGAGAACCAGAGCTCAGCAGTCATGTACAACGCAAAGCGGTGATGACACGAGAGCGGTGCTTCTCCACCAGAGAACACTCGTCATGATCACAACATACAGCATGATATCGGCGTTTTTCCTACAAACATAATGGTTCTGGCATATTATCATAGGCACTTGGCGTTCGGTGTGGGGGCATTTACGCCCGAAAAATCTGGCAAGACCTTTATCAGTATCCAATCAAGACTTGCATCTGGCCGATTGGATGAGGGCAGGAAGGTATGCATTGCATCCGGCGGAGCATCTGGCGTTACATCGATATGGGGGTATCGACCAAGACGACGTTACATACCCGTCTTTCGAGAAGAATTACCCCCAAATTCAGGTTGGAAAATTGTTACTGAGTCAGGTTATATTTTTGTTAGCTTGTCAATACGACTATGAGGCTGACTTCTTCCTCATTCAACTTACCTTGATCTAGACTTTTGTCGGCGCTATGAAGCGATTACGAGATTGTGAGATTTAGTAGAAGGACTAGAGTGATGAGATGTAGCTTGTGGTGGATGCCACGGTCGATTCGGCCGAGACCAGGCCAGGCGAACGTAGCGCGGGACGTTTTTTTTCTCGTATCTGCATTGACAGCAGATGCGGCTGTCTGATAATGCAAGCTACAGCTTATATCACGCCTTATAATCGCAGCCGTCGTCTATCGTCGACATATAAGTCGAGCCATCATTGCGGACTAGACGCTCCAGAGTGTCAGCCGGCTATAGCTATTATGACGAGCGAGCTTTTTCTGAATACCACGTGTGGTTGCGCTTGGATTTCCATTTGCTATGACGTTCTCGCTGTCAATTTCCTCGTACCTACCTACCTTGTCGGCGATTTTGCGGTATGGGGCTCGCCCGGGTACTCTAACTAATTGCGAGATTACTTTAGGTAGGTATCTTAGCGAGGCGGTCTAGCATGGGTGTCGAGTCCGGTCGGATGTCAGATACGGCTCTATTGATGCTTCTCTCTAAGCTTGTTTATCCCAAGCTATCGCGAGCCTATCCTAGCTCGTGTGGACATGCCCAGCCTCCAATTGACATATCTCGACTACTACACTACTGCGTAGGTATAAAAGCGGCACAGCGCTTCTTCAACTCGTATACCCGCTTAGAATACGCTGGCTGTTGTTATGACATGATGCGAGAGAGGTTGTTGATATGAGTTATTACGACCCGGCGACACGTCGTTCGATACTTGGTCGAGGTAGCTCGTTCGCGTGGCGTCACGATGTCTTCGTTGGCTTATCGCTTGCCGCTTGCTCTCCCTTGCTTTCGTTGAGACTGTGTTGGCCTTGCTTACCTAGGTAGGTATGGGTTATCTGTCGATAAAGCTTCGAGCAGCATTGAGTACCAAAGGTCTATTCAGACGAAACTCCCGTTTCCGAAGGCATCGGCTTGCAAATTTTCTCATAATCCGGATACCGAAATTGAATACAATGATTTGTAGTAGATAGATGGTATGGCGTATGGCCCTTGATGTACATGCTTTCCAGTCTGCGATATCATCTCGCGACGTATGTCCAGTTGGTGAGAATTAGAATCTAGTTGAAACCGAGCAGTTATTGGGGCAGACGAATGCATCCTAATCGTGTCTGAGCAAGCCTATCGTAGCTCTGTGGTATCGTCTCGTGCATACATACGTACTTGGCTTTCGTAGCTTATCTGATTTGAATTGAGTACGCCTCGGTTTGGAGTATCGTATCAACTGTCTATCCGCGTCTTTCAGGAATACCTAGCCCAGAGATCTACTAGCTCAGACGACAATCCCTTAGACCTACCTACCTACCCACAAGCCCCGTCGGCGAACTCCACCCGGCGCATTAGGGCAGACTCGCCTCCTCATCCCACACCACTCTGTACTGTAACATATAATCCAACAAAAAAGCCGCACATCCCATCCAATCACATCGATCGCGGAAGATCGAACAACAAACACGGGCTTGTGGTTTAGTGGTATAATACTCCCTTAGCACGTGACGAAGCACGGCTGCCCTGTCCGCGATTTCGAACCCGTCTAATGTGGGAGTGGTCCGGGGTTCGATTCCCCGCGAGTCCAGCACTGAGAGGTTAGATTCCTCTGGTACCGCAACTTTTTGGTGAATTTTTTTTTTGGCAAGTTTTGCTATCGTCGGGTACCATTCTTTTTAAGAATGCCCATTAGTATCAGGTAACTGAGGAAAGATAAAGCTTTATCTTGCTATTTTTCAATATGTTGAGTAGGTACCTACCTGATAGGGACCGGCTCAAAGACCGAGCATCAATTCACTCTGCACTCTATGTAGCTCAGCGCTGTTCTACCCAAAAGGCGGACGGTGTAGTGCAGCCAATACAGACAGCGATATGTAAGTGAATGCACCATCGTCAATTGTTCTATCCAGACCTCTTCCGGATTTGTGCAAGTATCTACACCCGACTCTATATATATACTATCGCTCCTTTAGAACAACACACGCTAAAACGACCTAAGCCACTCGTCATAACTTCATGCATATGTGCTCAAATCCATTGCTCGCCAACTAGACACGTATCTCACAGCACGATCAGATTGCTTATTTTCAATCCCTGGCTCTCAACATGGTATCTCCTCCTCAGCCCCAAGCTCTTCGTCGCCTTTAACAACTCATACGCCTCCTTGCCTCCTCCCGTCATCAACATGGCGATGGGGCGATGCCTAAGTATCCCCGCGGGTGTCCTCTGTGGCTCATCGAGTAGGGGCCTGATGAAATTGAAGCCGTACAGGTCTTCCTCCTCTTCCTCACCGTCGTGCTCCAGGGCGTCCTTATCGTCCGACACCACGACCACGAGTTGTAGCGCGTTCCGGCCCGGCGCGAACGATGGGATATTCGCAAGCTTCTCAGAGAATGAGCACCCGCCACGACGCATCACGATCACTTGATGCGATCGCGGCGCAGCGTCGGGTAGCTTGCCCTCGCAGGCCTGGCCTGCGAAGAAGATGCGCTGCCAGGACAACGGGTCGACGATGGCATTTGTATGCGGGTTAGGCGCTTCGCGGACGTCCGGTAAGGGAGCGACGCCCACGCCGACGGGAGTGACGGCGGGCAGTTCAACGAACCTATACTTTGGAGGATGCACGGGCTCAGGGCCGAAGGTAGCAGCTGGCTCCCGGAGGACGGACGTTATCTGTTGTATGAAGGAGCTGAACAAGTTTTGGGTACCGACGGCAGACTCTACATCGAGTTCGACGGTCGACCCGCTTTCGGAGGAAGGCTCAGGATTGGTTGTCGCGTTATGTTGCAAGGGTTCTTGAGGAATCTCAATCTGCAAGAGCAGATCGACGAGGACGGAGTCGCGAACACGGTGAAACAATGGATCAGACATGTCCTCAAGGACGTCACGAGTGATGAACACCTTTTCGTCGCGGCCTAGTGGTATGTTCCCAATGCTGTAGACCCTCCAGGCTCGTTCGGTTGTTTCCGGGGGCTCTTCCATGAGCAGAGCTAGCTTCAGGCCAGAGAGACTATTAATCGCAATGCCTTCGCTCCCCATGCGAACGAGGTTATGGCCGCCGAACATGAGGTTGAAAGCACTGCCCATGGATTGTTGAGTATTGGAAGGGAACTCAATTACCGAGGTCTGAGCCTGTTTGGTCACGGCGCAAATGCCGTCGGTCGGGAGCATGGCGCGAGGCAATGTCCACGGGAAATAGGTGTAATTCTCCCTTGGTTTCTCTGATTGCTTCGTCTGTGCTTCGGATCCGCCAAGCTTCGCGATTCTATCATACGAGCCGCTGTGTATGTTGGGAACCTGATGAAGCCGAATTAGAGTGGCCGCGTTGTAAAGATCAGGTCTCGCGGCAGTGGCAGAGCCAGACAACGGAGGTAGGTCAGGCGGGCGAGGACACGTAGTAGTGAAATGTGCATCGAAGTAGTGCTGAACGGCCGTCTCTGACGTCTGTTTGCGCACTGGACGGTTGGTTTTCTTTCGAGGGATAATCAATGGATGTCCTTCCGTAGTGAATACGTACGAAGCATCGAGTTTGTTTAATGGGTGACCTGGGTCAAAGAGGAGATACAGGTACTTGGCGGTCTCTCCGAGGAAGAAACTCTCCATTCGGTCGCTCTTTTCCCCAGTACGTACGTCCTGCAAACCAGACCAACCGCAATCTGTCCAGCATCGTCTATATATGTCTTTCAGAACCATCTCACCAGCATAGAGATACCAAGGGTCTCGAGTAGCACGGTACAGGTGGTAAGTGGATTCGATGAACTCAGGCCGACCGGGCCACCATCCAAGGCCACCTTCGACGTTACCATCGCGGACAGACCATCGCTCTGGGAGGGCGGAGTACCGAGTCCAGAGAGCTGTGTAGACTAGGTGGGTCTCAATGGCCTCGTCAAGCTCTCCAGCCAGCGCCAAAAGGCCAGAATAGTATGCGCCTAGACTGTCAATCCAGTATGCCTGGGGTGAACCTGTGGACATGTGCGCATTCACGTAGTGGGGGTGATGTAATCCGGAGTAAAGGTGACGTTTGATGGCAGCGTGAGCATGATGCCAGGCCCGCAGAAAAGAATCAGGCGAATTGTCTTCGTCCGAAAGTGGATGATAGATCTGATTAGGATCTAGCCAGCTGCCATCATGATGAACTTGAGGCATTGTTCGATTAGGCAGCTCCTGACCTGACAACAGGATATGGGTCTTGAGGGCATATTCGAAAAAGCTGTCGATGCCTGCACCGATCCCAGAGAATCCTCCGATCCAGTGTCCTTCCTCTGCATCGACACCAGCTCCAATAAGGCCGATGTTGCTTCTTCTTGACCAGACGGCCCAGAAAGCCCTCTTAGCTACTTGCTCAAATCTTGGGTCCCCGGTGAGGCGGCTCAGCACGGTAAACTCAAGAACCAAACTACCAGCTCCGGCGCTACAAGTTTCGGTGATTTCCGGCGAGTCCTCTGACGGTTTTGGATCTAGGCCAGTGTTAACGTGAAGCGGCGAGTTCACATAGAAAGGTATGCCGTGACGGAGATTGACACGCGGATAGGGTAACCCGGTCTGAGTGTAGAAAGCCGGAAGCAGGCGTTGAGCTAAGTCGAGGGCAAGCCGTAGCAGCTGCCCGTCATACTTGAACCCGTTCGGCCAAGGAATGGGGTTTTGCTCAATGTCAAAATCACCATCAGCCGGCTTGCGCGGGTTATAACCAGAAATTGGCAACTCTCCAACCGCGAATAAATGGGCACTGAGCAGTCCACCAACGCCCCTTATTACAGTCTCGAAGACCTGTACCTTGCTATCGACATCAAACCCGCGACCACGGGCGCCTTGTCCAGTTGGCCCGGGGCGTCCGTCACCGTATTGTGCGACCAACGCGGCAACGCCATCTTGGAAATCGCTCAAGGCTTTAGGCCCAGTATTATTACTATCAGGCGGCGCGGAGGCAAGGATCGCGAGGGACGAAAGGCTGTCGATAAGGGTCAGGGAGTAGTTCCCGAGGACGTCATTAAGCGCAATGTTTCTCGGGTTGAGGGGATCTCGAGTTAACGGCGTACAAGACACGGGCCGCAACTGTAAACTATGAGCTAATGCACAATTCTACTTTGGCAGTCAAGCCGTTTCGGGTTTTATACGTGTTCAGCCGTACCTCGTCTTCGGGAAAAGCGATCTTCATATAGTTATCGAAACCGTGGTAGAACATGTCAACCGTCTCCTGCCTCAGCTCGGCGATGCGACTGGGGCGCATCGCCTCTACTACCCCCAGCCATGGCACCAACAGCGCGAACAGCACGATCAATCTGGTAGACGCGTCATGGTATGTTGATTTGTGGGAGGTGGCCAACGTCCAACTGCCCATGCCTAGCAAGGGCATCACCGGCAGGAGAATGCAGAAGAAGGCATGTGTATGAAGACACGAACGGTGAAGAGATGATTTAACTGGCGAACTTCCCACCGTCCTCGAACCAGCAGAGAAATACGGCAAGCAGGCTGAAAAAAAGGTGTTACTAGTAAAGCCTGGGACTACGTTTCCCAAGTTTCAACTTGAAGCCAATAAAGAATGCGAATTGAAACTTGGAGCGTGACCATCAGACGGTCGATGCGATGTTGTCATTCAAGATGGAAATTTAGACGAACCAGAGTTACTCGTCATACTAACAGAATCCCTCCAATCCCGTGCTGGCCAGTTGATAAGCTTCTTTGTACTCCCTACCATTCGCCGGTTCTAGACCAGCCTGAGGACACGTGCCAGTGTCGGCTCGCAGGGCTGCTTAGGTAACTCCTGCAGCTCCTGGTAGCTATCGATTAGAGAAACCTAATCGATACTCCCACCTGAATGTCTTCCAAGGTTGTACAACTTCATACAACGCCGACTCGTCCTCCTCCTCCTTACACATTCATATATCTCTAGAATAGCTTCGACGCTGTGCTACTATACAATACGAATATCTACCGTTGTTATTGACTTCGCACTTTTCGTCTCGCAGATTGTACCACTACAAATGGTACAGTGCGCAATTGAATTGTTCGGGCTTCTACTTTCGCTCTCCACAGCATGACCCTATGCCGTTCATCTCATATACCTTTGGTATGAGCCAGGCGTGACCCTGTCCAAAGACCAAGCATGCACGGGCTTGAAGTCTGTATTATATTATTGTCTCAGGCCTCTTATTTCGCCGCCGCCATAGTCAAAATTTCCACGTGTTTCGGAATCTAGACGGACAGCGAAGTCGGTCTAGACCACGCAGGTGCAGACGCGGCTGAGACAAAGCTCGCTAGGCTTCTCAGAACGGCGAATAGGTACGTGTAGAAATCTTCCTATTGCTGATCCTAGCTCTGGAATTCTGGTTTCATGATACCCAGAGGAGCCTAGGATCTGTAAGCGAATAATACATGTGTGCGGCATGCACAAATTTCGAAACAGAATGCAGTGTAACTCGCGGAGAGGCATGTAGCTCTTCCCTTACATATGCATGAACTTGTCTTCGTAACCGATTGGTGGCCCTGCTGGAGTTGTGCGGTTCATATAAGGTGCGTTCCACTACCCAGCCTGGACGAAGCAAGGGATCGCTCTTGGGGCGCTACCGCAAACCAGAATTCCTCAACACG